TTTCAGTAGTAGGAACAAAACTGAATCACTTCCTTTTTTAGCCTATCTTCTAGGTTTCAAATGTTTTGTAGTATCTGTATAACTTACCCACTGGCTTTTAGTTTATTAATACCATCTGTGAGTTTAGTTTATTAATTGTCTTTACACACAGATGGGTCTACAAGTACTTAGTCACTAAGTAGTCAATTACTTGTACTTTCTATCTCACCTGTTTACCCATTTCTTTGATTTTTGGAAATATTTTCTTTGATCTTATATTGCTGTTAGTAATGTTAATAACATTATGATAGTCATAATGTCTATAATGGTAATAATAATAACACTGCTATCACTAGTGAGAAAAAAAAATCCCAAAACATTTCTCAAAACATAACTACAGTGAATACCACATTTTCCCAGTGGCATTGGGTTAACATCCAAGTTTAGATAGTTTTGTACTTTCTCCAGAAGTTCTGTAACGGAAACCATCTGATGTAAATAACAAAACAAATAAGTGAATGAACTATACTTTCTTTAGGAATCTCATATCTGGAGAATGTTTTGATTTTGCTGGGAAGTAGTCCAAGCATCCATTAAAAGGTAATTGGTGTAGTGATGGATGTTCATTTTTAGAGCCAAGAAAAAGAGTACAGAAAAGTATTTCATGTATATGATTATTTTGTAAAGGTATGAAAGAGAATGAGTATCTTCAAATTACAGGATGTGTATTTAACTGGTTTCATCAAATATGTCTTGGTCAGAAATATAGTCTATTTCTGAATAAGATGTATTCAAATCCAGTTAAATACACCTCTTGTATTGTGAAGATGCTCATTCTCATTCATACCTTTTTTACACTTATTACAATGAATATGATTCATTATAATAATTTTTGTTTTTGGTGTTTCAGAATGATAGAAGATATGGCAGAGGTTCCGAGGGCAATATCTGTTGTGTCCCTCCTGTCGTCCGCAATCAGCCCACTTATTAGAAAGAAGGAAGAGGAGCTCAGTGCACGTCTCACCCAAGTCCTGCTGGAGAAGTATCACATGGACCGCCATTGTCAGGCTGTGCGCTCCATCTTGCTTATGGAAGCTGGTGACGTCATGCATGAATTTTACTCACAGCTATTTTCCAAGGTAACTCCTCTGTCTCTCTCTGTGTCTCTGTGTCTCTGTGTCTCTGTGTCTCTGTGTCTCTGTGTCTCTGTGTCTCTGTGTCTCTGTGTCTCTGTGTCTCTGTGTCTCTGTGTCTCTGTGTCTCTGTGTCTCTGTCTCTCTGTCTCTCTGTCTCTCTGTCTCTCTGTCTCTCTGTCTCTCTCTCTCTCTCTCTCTCTCTCTCTCTCTCTCTCTCTCTCTCTCTCTCTCTCTCTCTCTCTCTCTCTCTCTCTCTCTCTCTCTCTCTCTCTCTCTCTTTAACAGTCAGAGTATTTTTTATTATTATTTCTTGCTTTGCTTTAGGTTCAGATAGTTTAATACATTAACAGCAACATGTGAAGCTGTTGCTGAGTTTTGAAGACAGTTGCCATTTTCCACTTACTTATTTTGATTAAATCTTCATCTTGATTTAAGTGATTGGCTAGGTATTGGCACTACAGATTGCAGTAGGAATTTGTATACCTGTGGTAAAAGTTGTAAAGAGAATAAGGCAGAAAATATGTCATATAGATTAGATTATACTTGTGCCTGCAACTTTACCCATATAGATATCTTGTAGATTACAGTAGTATGCACAGCTTTGTAAATCTTTTTCAACAGATTGACATTGGGGAGAGCATTGATGGAATCAGTCTGACACTCCACCTCCAGGACTGTGTAACTCGTCTTGTCCCAGATTTGGCACAACTCTTCTCTGTTTCTGTTAGTTCAGCTTCAGTCTTGAACTCTGCAGAGGAGAACAAAACTGATAATCAAAGTGTGCCAGCGGACAGCATTCTAAGTAAAGACTCTAATCAAGTCAAAGAAGAGGAACAGGACAAAAATAAGCTTGCAAGTGATTCTACAACAATGCCACTTTCGAAAGCTGGTTTGCCAGACATAAGCATTAATTATCAGGTAATCTTTTTTTTTTTTCTTGGATATGAAGAAGTTGCCTGGTCTGTGGATACATGTGATTCTTTAAATCATATTCACAATGATATTTAAACAGGGTAGAATAAAAGTCAGAACCACAACTTCAATTGTCAAAAAACAAGTGAGACGTAAACCACATAAAAAAGTGATATAGTGTGTGGAAAATCACTACTGGTCATTTGATTTGCATACACTTGAACACAGCTGATTGCACACCAAGGTAGAATTAATTCCTAATGAGAAGTTTGATGACTAGCACTGATGATGTTGGTGAACAGTGTGAGTAATCCCATATGCTAAAGACCTAACTTTTAACTCTTTGGCAAAGTTGCACATAGTTGATTAAAGAGATTTACGACTTTATGGAATAAATCTCATCAGTGAAACTTCTTTGGGAAAATATCACACCTTCGTATGTTTGGCATTAAACTGCTAACAGTCAAACTAAAAATACATTTTCTTTTGTTTCCATACTTGTTTTTCACATTCATAAGATTCATACTTTCATCACTTAAAACAATCAGCATATAACCATTACAGTTTGATTCCAGGTACCATATCCAGTTAATCTCTTGCTGAGTGAGAAGATCCTGAGCCAGTATAATATCTTGTTCCGATTCTGTCTCAGCATCAAAAGGGCAACAAATGGACTTGAGAGATTAAAGTTCAAAGGTTAGTGCGAAGCTTGGAGAAAACCCTTATCATATTCATTCATCATGTCATCTTTAAAGTTATCTTAGTAGTCCATGAATTTTTGTACTGTTCTGCATTCATTTAGGAAAGTTGTTATTAGCAGATCTGAAATGTTTTTATTCATGTAAAAAGAATACACTGCTTGGTAATTGACTTGTAGAGTGTCTGAAGAAGTTAGTAATAATCTACTTTCATGTGTTTCCCAGACCTGGCCAGTTGGAATGCAGTTATTGGTTCAGGCAGTAATACCGAAGATGCTGCTGGTCCCTTACGCTCCAGGCTCCATCGGCTCCAACTGTTGCGTCTGTGGCTGTTGTGTTTCACTAGGGAGCTGCATGATCACTTTGCCAACACTGTTTTCTTGCCATTCCACCAGACTGTTGAAAAATTGTTTCTCTCAAGGCCTTCCCTGAATGTCATCATTACAGGTAAATAATGTCAGGAATGTATCTTTTCTCTTTGAAGTTTTAACATAGAGATAAGTAAGTGGGGACTGGGGAAAGGAGACCATTTTCTAAGAGGAAGAGATAAAAATGTAAATAAGAATTACTTTGTGTTTTTTTCAGAACATGAGAAGCTGTTAAATAGATTGATCACAAACTGTTTGATGGGTAGTGGGAAGACATCGTCACCTCTGCAGATAGTCCTCAATAAGGTTTGTTTGGAAATGATCTCTCATTGCTGCAATTTTAATTAAGTGTGCATAGTCACTGTGACCTCATGTGTCATCTTGATATCATGAATTAGGCCACTTTTTATTTATATATATATATATATATATATATATATATATATATATATATATATATATATATATATATATATATATATATATATATATATATATATATAGTGATACAGTTTATGCAGCATTTGTGTACTTAATTGTAAATAATAAGTTTCATAGAAAAAAATGAAATTGATCAGAAACATGATAGATAGATCATTTTTGTTTGATGTGAACATGAAGAAAGGAAATAGAAAATTACAAGCAGTAAGAAAAAAGTAACCTAGTTCAATTATGCAGGGAATAAAAATCTTATGTTTTTGTAACAGGTATTTTGGTTGTCTCAACGTCTGGGACAGCTGTGGATGAAAGACATAGGACGTGTGACCTGCAATGAACTATCAGCTATAGAAACTCAGTATGCCCAAGTACACAGGTATCTTGTCAACTTCCTGACCCGGCTGACCACAACAAATTACTTGCCACACCGTAAGTTTCTTGAGATGGTGAAGTATTTCACTTAAATCACTTTAAATTATTCACTAGCAACATAATCCATAAGCTTGAAATATTTATGCTATTGTCCATAAACAAGAGTAATATCCTTTGCTAAAGGGAGTAGTGGGACATTTTAAAGGAAGTGAAAAGCAAGGTTCAGTGTATGTTCCACTAGCCAGACTCTGCCTTGTTCAGAGTTGCCTCTATCTGCCCAACCCACCATTTTGGTTACATTGCAAATAATAATTAACCATCTTAAAGCAAGCATAGACTGTATATTATATCCAACTGAGACTTTAACAGGATCTGGATGAAGAACACTCGTAGGGTATAACACAGATACTGTGCTTGGGCATGGCCAAAGTGGTGGTAATCCCTCATTCAATTAAAGTCCCAGAGTCAGTTAAGGCTAGTGAAACCTTAGTAAATGGAACCTTGTTCAATATTGAATGAGGGACCTCATTATAAGCACTTTATTCACTGATTCTGAGTTTGAGTTGGCTTTAAAATTGAATCCTTTTTTTTCCTGATGTGAATTTATTTATAATATTGTTGAGTGAAACAATCATTGTATATTATATTAAGAAATATTTTAAAAAATGGTAATGAACAAGAAAGTAACACATTTATCTCTCCTTTCCAGTGGAAGGCCTCACGAGAACCCTGGTAGACACTGTCCCCTTACTAACGCAACCCTGAAGCTGCTGGGAACAATCTTTACAGAATCGGCATTTAATATTCATGTGTGAGATATTGTGATAATATATAACTTTAATTAGATCAGTGTGTATATATATTTTTTCTATTAATGAAATCTTATGTGTTACAAGTAATTGATGTTTATCCGTGCTATATGTATGTCCTTTTTTTTCTTCTTCATTTTGTGTGTGTGTGTGTGTGTGTGTGTGTGTGTGTGTGTGTGTGTGTGTGTGTGTGTGTGTGTGTGTGTGTGTGTGTGTGTGTGTGTGTGTGTGTGTGTGTGTGTGTGTGTGCGCGTGTGTGTGTGTGCGTGTGTGCGTGCGCGTGTGTGT